GTGTGTGTGTGTCCGGATATTTCAACTCGGCACCCTAGCAAGTCCCGGCGCAAAAGTTTTGCCAGTTGGTTCCCCGACCAACTGCTACCTCGAGACCGCGATTCCAACCTTCACGCAAGTCTGAACCCCGCGTACGAAAAGATGAAAGTTTTGGCGGGAAGATCGCTAACTCGGGAGCCAAAAAGCTAGAAGACTGGAATTTTGAGGTTATGTTCCCCGTTCATATAGAACTTAAAGATTTCAGATTTGCCCTCCAGGTGTGCGTGGTACCCGCGTATGGCCCCGTGAGGGTTCCTGATGTGAAAGTCGCTAAGCGGAAATTTTCAGAAATGTTCCCAGCTCACGTACAGCTTAAAGTTATCGAATTCAGCCCCTCGGTATGCGTGTTTTCCTGTATGGCCCCATGGAAATTTTTGGCGGGAAAATGGCCAGCTCGGGAACCAGGAAAGCTAGGAGGCTGAAATTTTCAGGGAACGTTGCCAGCACATATGCAGCATAAATTTATCAAATTTAGCCCCCAGGCATGCGTAGTTATCACGCGCAACCCCAAAAAATTTTTTGGCGGGAAAATGACTAACTCGGGAAACAGGAAAGCTGGGGGTTGAAATTTTAAGGGTATTTTCCCAGTCCCTCGTAAAATTTAAAGACATCAAATTCAGCTCCCAGATACGTGTGGACCTACGAAATTTTTTGGCAGGAAAATTGCTAACTCAAGAACCAGAGAAGTTGGAAACCTGAAATTTTAACGGAATGTTTCTTGTCTAAGGACCGCGTAGACAATTAACTTCCCGAACTTCAAGGACCAGTATATCACAAATCCTAGCTACTAGATTTCCGAGCGATTTCATTACAGCACCAAATACTGCAAAAAGCATAATCGCACCGGCCTGCCCGGTGCGCATCGCCAATGATTTTGTAGTCAGACAGCAAGAAAACAGAAATTTTACAAGAATGCGCCTCTAAAACGTATAATTAACTTTCACAAATACCTAGGCCTCGCATATGGACACGACAGATTTGAGAGTGCGTTTTACCGGCAACACCTTTATGCAAAATTTACGGTAGTCATACGTACCGGAAGTTAAGATTTCACACAATTATTCATGTTGTTAGCGTTTTGATTGTTTCGAGGTTCGTGCAAAAATGCATAGTCGCACAGGCAAACCTGATACTTTCCTGCCTGGGTTTGGTTACGTGGCAATCTGCAGTATCCTTGTATAAATGAGCAGCATTATAAAGCATCATATCATCACATAATTTTAGGCCAGATCGATGCTTTTGGACTCATGAAATTGTTTGTTGGGCTACCCTCGCAGTGTACCAGATTCATTGAAACAGCTTTACAGGTGATTTCTGTTATTTTTTGCAACCATTAAAAGTTGGACCTAAATTGCACAAGCGTTGAAAAGCACATAACATGTCTGCTTTTCCCTCGAAAGGTATAGACAAAGAAGAAGAAAACAATAAGATCATCAGTGCGTTTAGCAGGCAGGTAGCTTCGGTCACAGCAGCCGTTGAAGGCTGCCATACATATATCGATGCCAAGGTGGTGTGGCTGACTGGCGTCCTTCAATGTAATGCTCATATTAATGTAGTTGTTTCTATCCCTCATCGTGGTTTAGGAGCTCGAGACAAGGTAATGATGCATTGCACCCACCGAGAATATCTCAGAATGGCTGAAGCCTTGTTTTTTTTTTTTGAGAGAGATCCATTGAACCGGCAATCCCTTTGGGAGACGAAACGAACTACAGAATCTCGAAAAGGTTGACCATCAGACTATTCAGCACTGCTTAAAGCATCGAGGAAGTTTACAGTGTAGCAGTTATTTTCATGAGTTGGTCCATGCAATTTTTACACTTTACCATTCTACACGTGATACGGCTTCCGTGTTATTTGCCGTTATTTACCATTAAATACTCTTTTTAATTTTTTTTTTTACAGGATAAAACGAACGACCCGAAATTACGTAGCGTGTTGCTTGAACTTCGTCTTCGTCAGTGGGCTTTACATAATGAGGTATTTTTCCCTTCTGCTGAGTTTATCATGCCCCCATAGTAATGGTCTCATTGATGTGTCTTAAAAGAATCTTATGGTATCCTAGACACCAGCTTGCCTGGAATATCGTTAAATAGAAGATTAGTTTTGCTAGGTCTTTTAGTCATGGGCTGTTTTGCTTGTGGCTTCTGTACCTCTGTTTTCATAGCTTACTTAAAACTCATTTCTTACATTGCTAAATAGTTATTTTTTTTTTCGTGGATACCTCATACTATCACAAAGTGTCGAACAATTTTCCCCTATACGACTGTTTGTCTTACTAAACAGGCTTCACTTTTGTGGTCATGGCGATTTCCCACACTGCAGTTGCAAGACGAAGGGTTGTATAAATTCTGTATTGGAAAGAAGTGACACCGAGGTTAATCGGGAGACGAAGGAGGAGGAATTAAAATTGCTTTAGTGATTTAAAAAACACTGGATTGCTCAAACATGTCAACTGTTGCAACTAATTCGATTTATTTATTTTTTTTTTCAATTTTATGATGCGCCCAGCAACGACAAAGACATTGTGGATTTAATTGGGGATGAAAATTTGGAAAAATCGTTAAAGTTGTGTCAGATGTTTAATTTTGTTCCCGGAATTGTCGATATTTTTACGAAAATGAAAAGGTAACGTTTAAAATTAGTGAAAATTACCTTGGTGATGTGTAATATTGCTTGTAACACATGGCATTCGTTTTCTGTGATGAAGGGGGCAAACATCTCTGCGAATGTGTCATATATCGACCAGGATGTAATAGTTAAACTGTCCTTCATCTTTTTAAAATTAGCGCATCAATTGAATGATAGATTTTGTTCTTTAGAGATGCACATTAGCTGTATCCCAACCACAGGAAGCTTTACGGCAATGAGTTTTTTGCCGGTATGATGTAGAATTGCTTTGCAGATATGATAAACTCATTGAATATCATATGCAGCAGAATAAGCTTCTTGAAATCATTGATCTGTGCGAAAAACAAGGGTTTGTCTTTTTTTTTCTGTATTTGCACAAACTTTATATTCATTGTTAAACCATCTGTCATCGTGCATTCCTTTAAAGGACTTCATTCTGCTTCTCAGTTTTGGTGCTACAACATCTTCATTAACTTGATTCTGAGTTTTCCGCTTCTACACAGCTTTCTGTAAAAATTTATTGGTGTCCTTTTATCTCAGAGGCGGCCAGCCTAGTGTTCGTCTAACATTTGCATCGCCCGAACTAATTCATTTCTTTGTCAAAATGAAAAACAAACAAGTATCTTTAAATTTTCGCCAAAATTGGCCTCAGAAAATTAATAGTTGATATTTATGAGAGAAATTTTTACGCTCGTGATTTACATCCGGATTAAAACTCGAGAAGTGAGTATGCAGTTTTCTACAAGCTACCACATTTTTATCTTACTCTGTTGATAAAACAATGTAGAAAATGTAGAAATGTAGAGAATTTATTATTCCTTTACTTTATTTATCTGCTTCAAGAACACTTTTTACTTAATGGGACGCTATACTGTGCAGCAAGCTTTCTCAGATCAGGGGATCTTCCCCGGTGTACATCCGAATTCTTTTTGACGAGTACGAAAAAATACGAAGGCGTAAATCGAGGCGGTACATGTTTCTGGAGGCCTTAGCCAGTACATGTAATAAGGTTTACAGAAAATTGAGCTAACACGGGGATTTGTATCGACTATAAAATACTCTAAATGCTGATTTCCGCAGACAGTATTGCGCTTACTGTAGAACATCCACAAACATTAATGAATTTGTTGATTGAGCTTATGACGAGCGCGGAAGAATTGGACTTAAATCCTGTGAGCAAAAAAGTAAGTGGATAATGAAAATATGTCGCTTCCAGTATGAGACTCAATAAATGGCAACGCGCACCAGACTAGCCGGTGCGATCATGCGTTTTGTGCAGTTCAGCCCATCG